AAAAAAAAAGCCTGTTTTTTCTTAAACACATCTGCTTTTTATCAAAGTTGCTTAAAACATATTGAGAGTTTGAAACAAGAAAAAAGCAATTTTAAAGCATAAAAAAAAATGTCAGAACAGTTAATGGAAGTTGAACAAATGAATACTGTTTAGCTGATTTCTCTCATTACAGTTTTTTTAAAAAGCAAAAAATTCCTTTACAACTTTATGGTTGTAGTAAAACATCCGATAAAACAAAAAAGCGATTCGCAATTAACAAAATGTTGCATAAATTTTACAAATTACTTCATAACTACCTCATATTTTAAAATGAATTCTTCTTTTATCTTTGTATCTATCAAAATAGATTAAAAAAAGTTTGTACAGTTTTAACAAAAGCCATACTTAAGTTAATGAGAAAGACTTATGACTGTAGGAATTAACACCGGCAAAAAAAGAGCAAAAAAAAAGGTTAAGTTACTACTCTTCGGACATGTACGAACAAATCATTCAGTGTAGTCTGCGGACGTTTACCAGTAACAACGACACCACAGTTAACTGAATTATCGGTAACCAAAGCCTCACTTGGGCTAACACAAGCTTCTCGCTTCCAAAACCTCAAAGTTTCATTCGCTATAACAGCGGTCCTCAAGGCTTAAAAAGAATTTTATGATGTGGAATAGACAAAAGCGATAGAAAAACCTATAAACTACCAGTCTAAATTAGCTGTCACCTTCGCGCAGAAACGTACAAGCCGAGATAGAAACTTCCACAGTATCTATGCTTTAAGATCTTTAGACTTTACAGCCGTACTTTAGTGATTTTCGGCCTTAAACAAACATACCATTTTGAGAACAAAATCAATTATCCATGACCGTAACTTAGGAGAATACAGATCTCAGTAAGAAACTTTGAGTCACGCCAACATAAACCAAAACCGAGACGACTTCCTGTCTAACTGATCTGCAGCACAACTTTTAACAGCAGGAACTCTTGATAAAAACTAAAGGACACCTGCGACCGCTCCCGCTCCTGAATTTAGCTTCAAGGACCTGCACACAAGTCTCTTAAAATCCTACACCCAACCTACCTAACAATAACGAAAATAAGGCACTGAACAAGGGGATTTCTCTGTAGTCCAAATCCTTTAATCCAAAGACATCAGATGAGGCAGAACCACCTCACCTAAACGTAATGACTAAAAGCCAACAACCCTACACCAAGAAAACCACCTAAAAATCGTTCTAAATCTCGTTTACTAGACATGCCAGCCACTTAGAACTACAAAATCGCTGATCACGAAGAAACTAAAAACTACCCAACCTCTAGCCGTATCATTGAAATCCAGAACAAATCTAACACCAAAAAAGCATTGCAGAAAACCCACAAAATAATCCGGCTGAAAAATGCATTCCAAATTAATATTCAGCACCCACTACAAAAAGAAAAGGCAAACCAGCACTAACTTCAAGACTTCTACTCACTAATGAGCTAACTTAATTTTATCACTATACTTGAATGTTTCAAACACTACCATTTTGCTGTGCTCCTTGAAAAGCAAAAATGTCTTTACATTATAGCGTCCAACCGAAGTTACCTTATTAAAAAGCTAGCTTTCACAAATCGAATAAGAATAAATCATGCAGTCAATCTTTTTCAGGAATATTTAAATAAAAAACGACTCAACAATTTATTTCATTGCCAAATTAACAAAAACAAATGAGACTGTTCCAAATCTTCCAAATACATAATTATCTCCGAGAAGGTATTACTGTAGCAGTAGCTTTTGAATCATTTAAAACCAAGTTGGTGAAGCCCTGAAAAAAAAAAAAAAGTATCAAATTAAACCATGAAAAATATATTTTATGTATTATCAGACTAATAAAAGTTATAAAAGCAAAAAATATTACTAACCATAGATTCAACCATCTGTTTTGTATCTGGGTCAACATCTATTTGCGTCAACACACTAGGATCTACAACCGAAATCTCTGGCATATAATTATCCCTTCGCTCTCTTTCTTCTTCTTGAAGCTTGATGGATATTCCACGAACTGGACCTTTTTCAATACGTTTCATTAAATGCGTAATAAAGCTAAAAAAAACTCGAGGATTTATCTGGTTATAAACTCAATTAAATAGCCTGAAATAACGCTCTAAAACCAAATAAACTGAAATAAATTTACCACTGAAAAACGGTACAGTCACTGTACCGCTCCAACAGAACTTGATTCGCAACAGAACTTAAAACCGTTTAGATTTTTTCAAATTTCAAATGAATCTTCTTAAAAAACTACAGCAGATTACCCAAAAACAAAGTGAGATTTTCAGCGAAGTTCATGTAC